TTTTTTCCGATAGCAAGAGGTATTGAGAAGGATTGGATGAAGGAGTCAAATGGAGGGATGAAGGGGTTGGTTATCGTCTCAGAGTGGGGACACATCTCAATAAGTTTTTCTTTATCATCCCCAAAATAAGCGTCACTGGACTATGTGGAAATGAGCTCTCTGGGGTGTCACTGAGGTTGTTGTGGATGTAGCTATAGTAGGCTTAGGAGACTAAGTTCACACGGCATCTGCAGCATTCCTTTCAATTACCATGATCTATTTGCAGTTCAGAGAGAGTGGTCGGCCACTTACTGTGCTCTGCCAGCATTTTTGTTTTGATTGAAAGGACAGATTTTATTATTTTATTTATTCTCTAGTAATGATTGTTTTTATTTTGGTTGAATTTTAATTAAAATCAATATTCACAATTAAGTAGTTGTTTTTACTGTATGATAATACAGTGTGACACTTACCTGCCAATGGGGCAAATTGTCACAAGTGCACACTTCTATTCAACAGTCTACCTCAGTAATAAGATCAGATATGAACACAAAATATGTGCCCAACTTCCTTCTTTCATTTGGTATGACATTTGTACCATTGTGCTCTAAATTGCCTTAGGTATGAGCGTGAGTGGTTGTTTGTCCTGTATGGCCATGTGATGGATTAGCGACCTTTCCAGGTTGTACCCGAGTTTGATGAAGATAGTGGAAGTTGCAATCGCAGGGACAGGGAAGTGTACGTTCAGCAGTCACAAGGTGATATTCACCGCAGTTAAATATGAAGCCATTAGTTTCCTGAGGACAGCTTTCATGTTTAGCCCAACAAAGGAAAGGACATTACAAAGAGCAGCAAACAGCAATGAAAGTTGAGCGGTAAAACACATAATTTCAGTTTCAGTGAATACATTTTCCATGAAGGGTCTTGTTCACTAACAAAGACCACGTCAATTGTGCAGTAGGAAGGAGTTCATTCAGATAGCAAGAAGGATTGAGAAGGATCGGATGAAGGGTCAAGTGGAGGGATATAGGGGTTGGTTAGCGTCTCAGAGTGGGGACATCTTAATAAGTGTTTGCTTTACAATCCCCCAAAATAAGCATCACTCGACTACGTGGAAATTAGCTCTTGAGGTTGTGTGGATGTAGCTATGGTAAGCTTGGGAAGACTACTGGCCAAGAATTTGTGTGATCTGGGATCCCTTGTCTGGAAGCTATTGAGGCTGCTCTGGAAGACAGTTCAGGAGAAATCCTCGATTTGGACAAGATTAGCATAGATGGTGGAGGAGTGAATCAGTATTGCGTACCAACTTTGCCTGATTCTGTGGTGAAGAGAAGAAGTGAAGAAGCACAGTGGGATATTCTCTGGTTTATGCAGGCTTGGTTGGGTTCAAAGAGGCTCAGGTGGCGCTACACTTCCAAAAAGTTTATACCTCGTAATTCACTGTACAGTTCGTACGAAATTTGGTTTGTACGATATTGGGCCACTGCTCAGTTCATGCATGACATTTTGTAATAATTGTTCAAAGTGGGAGTGGATTATTACAAGAACTGTTAATTTCTAGACATTTCATTCCTAATTTCAAAAAAATCTGAGAAAATCACCCGTACGTCCTAGAGAGCTAAAACATTTTCAGCACATCCACTGATATGTGAACGTTTGCCTCACTGCAACCTATGGTCAATTCAGAAGTCAGTCACTTTTCTTTTTTGCTCAGTCTTGGATCAAATGCCACCAAAATACTAGACAACACACCCAAAACCATCAGGATGATGTGTGATGTGCGTCTGTTCTCCTCTGAAAATGTCAAATGTTGCATTTTTCATGACTTGCTTGGATCTCGATCATTGCAGCTATATTTTCATTTAATACTTGAAAGTGCACTATAGGACAATTATTTTCAAAGTAAAGTTTTTATATATTTACAGGAGGTACACTTCTTAGGTTTAAAATTTACTTTTTAAAATTTAAATGTTTGAAACAGGTTGGGTATACAGGTTGAGTTTGTTCATTTTTACAGATTTTACACTTTATTTGTCCACTAGCTACACACCTGTCAGTTTCAATAAATTTAGTGTAGTAACTTATTGTCACGAACCTCAGCTGGAAGTCCAGGGGGAGGAGGTTAGTGACAATAATGGTTCCAGGTTTGAAGGAAAGGAGGAAACAGCTTTACATTGAAAATAAAAAAAGCCATTTACTTACAATGAAGGGTAACAGAAAACAACTTCCAAAACGGGAAGCTAAAAACAAAAGTGTCTTACTAAGGGGTACTAAGGGGATGTGGAGGCAAAAGTTGAACACCAAAAAAAAGGTTGAGTTAGCAGTTCAGCACATCATGCAAACAAAAAGGTAAAACACACTGGGACTTCAGTTGCCACTATAGGTTACACCCTGCTCCTCTCAGCTGTCCGGCAGCTCATGGCTGGTCTTTGTGGTGGCAAGCTCTTGTGCTCTGATTATTAGAGTGGCATCAGCCGTGCTCCTCGGGGCCCAGTGTGCTGGGAGCCTTCTCATTTCCTGTCTTGATTAGGTAACAGAAAAAGCATGGTGAATTAATGAAGTACTCAACTGTCATGGTTTTCAGAATGAGTGCAAGTAGAAGTGTGAGCCCAAATGCAAGACACCAAGAACAGAGAGAGAGTTCAGGGATTTTATTAACACTTACTGAGAACACAGGGCGTACACAGAAAGGTGCAGACAAAGTCCAAAATAGTCAGGTAATTCAGAATCCAACAAAACACTCTTCCAAACAACACAACTGAGTGTAAACACACTACAATACAATAACCAGACAGAGACTGAACAGAAACACCAGGCATATATACACAGGGACTAACGAGCAGCACAGGTGACAGGACTGACCAGGCAGAGAGACAGCAGGGGAAAACAGAGGAGTGAAAACATTCTGTGTTATGTTGTGATCAAACCAGTGTGGATTTGTTCATTTTATATCAAATCAATTTGGAGATCCCAAAGTCTTTCTCTCTCCCTAAGAGAAAGAAAAGGAGGGGGTTTGAGATATCAACCCTCAACAGACAGCTGAAGCGACCAAAGGAGGAGGTGAAGTGCTGTTTCTGTGGCAGTTCCATCGTAAAACTTGCCACCTCTGGTGCAGCAGCCAGATAAGACTCGGTGCTTGACTGTTAAAATGACAAAGAAACACTAACCAGAGATTACTCTTTAAGAGAGGGCAGGAAACCCTAAACTGCCCCCCCACACACGTAACCATGGCAACTGACCTCCCTCTTTGTTTAATTACCTCAAAGGATATTCTCCTCTTCACACCCAGACGTGAATTCGTGAGAAACTCCAGAACACAAGAGGAGGACAGCCCTGAATTCCTTTGTGTAAACAAGGAGTACAGTCTCCTCAAAACTCAAAGTATTACCTTGTTTAATTTAATAAATCTTTAAGTTAACAGGTCTCTCCACTCCATTTGAGTAGTTATGTTACCATGTTGTTGATATTGTTGTAAGAATCTAAATAAGTTACTTTTGCAGCGCTTTTATTTTCAGCAAGGATCCCTGACATTTCTTCATTTTATGTTGTAACCAATGCTTTGTTCCCAACACTTTCTGACACTTCCTTTAGAAATTATGATAAAGAAATGTCATCCTATACTACTCAATTAATTTTCCAGCTCAAATTTAATGTTAAATAACTAAATTATTAAATTATACTGAGCAAAGGATTGTTTAAAGAATAATCAAAGCTATCTTCTTGGAACCAGAGCTCCTCCAAGAGGACAAAATAAGTATTACATGCCATCATTCTGAAATGCCGTTTAAGGTATAAATGTCACTCTGTATTTACCTGTTCATAATCTGATGCCATTTGTGTATCTTGCTTATATTCTCTAAGTTGTTCAGTCAACTCTGAGTATGTTGAGCCTGATGGAAGCACGTGCGTGGGGATGGAAAAAAGCCATCATCAATGGAGCTCCGCTACTACGATTCACCATGGCAACGGGTAAATAAAGGCAGAGGCTCCATTTTAATCGGGTGGAGCTAGAAATATGAATGCTGCCAACGCGGACCATGATTGGCTCTAAAACGCAGGATCGATACATTAACAATATTACTTTTATACAGTGCTGCTCATTCATCATTTAGAAGACTGGAGTTTCCTTAATGAATGATAATGAGCTGGGATTCTCCTACAGCCTGTTATTCATTTTAAATAGCTACAGGCCTGTTTATTCAGCTGTAACCTGACGGGACTAAATGCTGGTGGCAATAACTGAAGATGAAAATATTAATCTAACAGATTAGACATAGTTTAGGCTCCTCATGGACCTGTGATTGTAAAGTGACACACCAACTCAGTAGGCCTATTAGTGATTTTTTGTAATTTAAAATGTGTCCAGGTTCAAACTGACTGAAGTTTTAGACATCTGTTACATTTATAAAATCTTGCTCATTTCGTATTTTCTGAAATGCTATCAAAACACATTCAGACAGGCAATCAACAGATAATGAAAAACTAATTTAAACTACATTTATTTGTTTCAGCTGCACCACAGTCATCCTCACTCAGAAATATTCACGTCATATCCAGCTGATAACTACGATAGGAATGTTCAATCTGTGCAGCTACAATATGAAAAGTTACTGTTCATTGCGCACAGTAAGTGTTTTGCCTTAATGTCTACAGAGTCACTGTGTTATAAAGGACAGTGCAGCTTTTATTCTGTGCTGAGGATAAATTTACGATGTCCAAAGACAACTCTCATACATCGATGACAGATTGATCATAAAGTGTCATGTTGAAGATCATGTTTGGGTAAAAAACAGCCTATTTAACTGTGATTTCGATGTTTCTAAAGACGTACCTGTGTTCCAATATGTGCTTTGATATCGACAGTGTCAGACAGCCGCTTCAGGAAGAGAGGAAGCATAGAGAAACTCAGTGTTCTGTCTGTTCCCCCAGTAATCCCTCTGCCTGTCTGTCTCTGCTGTCTGTTTTCCCCTGCTGTCTCTCCTCCTGCCTGTCTCGTCAGTTCTGATCTCAGTCACCTATGTTGCTCTTGCCCTGCGCGTTAGTCCCTGTGTGTATATACACTCACCTAAAGGATTATTAGGAACACCTGTTCAATTTCTCATTAATGCAATTATCTACCAATCACATGGCAGTTGCTTCAATGCATTTAGGGGTGTGGTCCTGGTTAAGACAATCTCCTGAACTCCAAACTGAATGTCAGAATGGGAAAGAAAGGTGATTTAAGAATTTTGAGCGTGGCATGGTTGTTGGTGCCAGACGGGCCGGTCTGAGTATTTCACAATCATTTCTAGGGTTTACAAAGAATGGTGTGAAAAGGGAAAAACATCCAGTATGCGGCAGTCCTGTGGGCGAAAATGCCTTGTTGATGCTAGAGGTCAGAGGAGAATGGGCCGACTGATTCAAGCTGATAGAAGAGCAACTTTGACTGAAATAACCAGCATTTGTGAAGCCACAACACGCACAACCTTGAGGTGGATGGGCTACAACAGCAGAAGACCCCACCGGGTACCACTCATCTCCACTACAAATAGGAAAAAGAGGCTACAATTTGCAAGAGCTCGCCAAAATTGGACAGTTGAAGACAGGAATAATGTTGCCTGGTCTGATGAGTCTCGATTTCTGTTGAGACATTCAGATGGTAGAGTCAGAATTTGGCGTAAACAGAATGAGAACATGGATCCATCATGCCTTGTTACCACTGTGCAGGCTGCTGGTGGTGGTGTAATGGTGTGGGGGATGTTTTCTTGGCACACTTTAGGCCCCTTAGTGCCAATTGGGCATGGTTTAAATGCCACGGCCTACCTGAGCATTGTTTCTGACCATGTCCATCCCTTTATGGCCACCATGTACCCATCCTCTGATGGCTACTTCCAGCAGGATAATGCACCATGTCACAAAGCTAATTCCACCCTGAGGGAGAGGGATGGAAAGGAGAGCGAGAGGGAGAGGAGGAGGAAGAGAGGGGGACACCAGATGTAGACAGACAAAACTAAAACCCACCATGCATCTCTCACACACTCAAAGAAAAAAATAACTCAAACACATATATGTGTATTTTATACACACACAACACACCAGCTGTCACCTCCTTGCTCGTGGCAGTGTGACAGTAGCCCCCCTCCGACGGCCGCCTCCTGGCTGGCCAGGGTGCAAGCGATGGAAGTCCCGGACCAACGAGAGACTGGCGGTGGGAAATCCAACAGCGCACCTCAGGTAACCCTCCCAATCCACCAGGTACTGTACTCTACGCCCACGGCGACAGGAATCCAAAAGGCTGTTAACAGTGTAAGCCGGAGCATCATCAGCCATTCTGGGGGGAGGCAACAGAGGACTGATGGAGACAGGCTTAATCCGGGAGACATGAAAGGAGGGGTGCACTTTCATGGTGCGGGGAAGTCGGAGCTTGACCACAGTGGGAACATGAGAGGCAACGGGTATTTGTTGTTCACTGTTATGTCATTCAGGCCCCTGAAGTCAATACACGGCCTCAACGTCCCGTCCTTCATACCAACAAAGAAAAACCCCGCACCCACAGGAGAGCCCTTGATGTATGTCTCCATAGCCTCTCGCTCAGGCTTGGAGAGACTGTAGAGGCAGCTACTAGGCTACTCCCTGCCCGTGGCAGTGTGACATTCTTGGCACACTGCCACGGAGACGGCTTTTGTTAAGGTCTTCAATGACATCCATTTAAACACTGACAGTGGCAGAATTTCAGCCTTAGTATTATTGGACAGACATAAAAACTGGGTTGGTCTTTCTGGCACAGTACTAAACTGGTTTGAATCCTACTTAAAGGACAGGGACTACTTTGTGTTTATAGCTAATTACACATCTGAGCAAACAAAAATTACCTGTGGAGTTCCCCAAGGCTCCATTCTGGGGCCACTTCTGTTTAACATCTACAGGCTTCCACTGGCTCAGATTATGAAAAAGAACAAAATATGTTACCATAATTATGCAGATGACACACAGATTTACATAACAATATCACCAGGGCACTATGATCCCATACAGCCACTGAGTGACTGTATTGAGAAGGTCAACAATTGGATGTGCCAGACTTTTCTTCAATTAAACAAAGATAAAACTGAAGTTATTGTGTTTGGAGCCAAGGAAGAACAATTAAGTCAGTGTTCCATTTTTAGGAAATCTGATCCACAATGAAAATGGTCTCAAGTATCAAAAAATCCTGTTGACAGTCTCCAGGGGAGCGGCTCAGATGTACAGCCTGAGTGGTGAAAAGCAGACACAGAGGGGCTATTTTTAGACATGTTTACTCAGTTATTTACCTCTCTAACTACCTTTTTCTTTTTTAAAGTAAAACTATACTTTAAATATGTTTAAATTCCCCAGACTACTTATTATAATGATAATAAATAATTTAGTCATGGAAATACTTTGATTAAATTACATCTAATGTTAATCAAAAATTCACCACCAACTTTATTCGACAGAGAAAATGGATAGCTAAATGTTTATCACCAGTGACAACTGCAGGCTAATGCAGTTAGACATTAAGTCCATGTTCAGTAAAGTTCAAACAAATCTACTATAGTTTAAGAAAGAGTCTCTTTGCAGTTATGATCTGGTTGTTTCCGTCATTTGCCTGTTGAACTTTGGACTCGGAAAAACATCTACAACAGGTTGTACACCTCTACATTGGTATGTTATGTGCTGCCATGCAGAAATGTCAGATATTTTTGCTTTTGATGGGATAGAAACCCATGTACAACTCCCTCCAAATGTCTGATTGGTTTTCATGCAATGGTACCACTCAAGATGATTGACAGGAGGAAGTAGACTTGTACGTGACACTGTTACAGCGGTTGGCTGTTCTGCCGACTCATGCTGTTCATCCCTTCTAGCCCACCAAACTAACTGGAAAAGTGAGATGGCAATCCAGCGGAATGTGGAAGCGCCATGTGTAATCAGATAAAATAAGAGAAAACAGCTGTTTGCGTGTTTACTGGCCTAGTATAACTAGTGACACTGCTCATGCAGAAAAAGATTGTCATCAGTTGTGACATGAGAATGTTTCTTATGGAGCCTGTTTGGTGATTCCTGATAGTGTTGGAGCCCTAGGTGAGATTTTTTATGCCCTCCCATGTGCCCAACCTTAAACTGACATTACCCACCACAGTATGAAAAAAGTTCAGTAGCAGAACTAATTTAACCTAAGTCAGTAATCATGGTCAATAATGAATAAGTGTGATCAGCATATAACCACCCTCCAGACATCATAGCCTAAATTTGTAAACCAAACCTAACCTGGTATTTAGAAATCTTCCCACCAGTCAAACACAGACTGTTTGCTTTCACTCAAGTGAATTTAAAGGTTAGGCCTTCTTTTTTGAAGAATTGCAAGAGCATAGGTTTTATTTGAACACTGGAGGGGACACTTTTTAAGTGGGGAGTCTAGGGGACTTCACCTAGTAAGGTCTGAGCATTAAACACTTTTTCAATTATAAACACCTGGACTTTAATAGCTCCTGTGTTTCAGCAGGTTTTCTGTTCATATTTAAAATTTTATGCACATTCAGAATCTCATCTACATATCCGTGATTTCTGACATGTTGAGAAAAAAGTCAAAATATATTACGAGAATAACCTCATAAATTAGCGAGAGTTCATAATATGTTTACTACCTGCAAGGGGTGAATTGGTCATCTGGCCCGGTGGCCCGACGCACCTATGAAGAGAAGGGGGGACCCTCCGCGACCCACAGGGGGCTCGCCTCTAATGGGCCAGGACACCCGCCACAGGGGTGCATGACAGGCAGCAATATCTCAATTCTCATCAGTTGCTAATTGTTTTATAGTGATGCCAGACGTTGAGTTTATTAGATAGAATTTTAAAGTGATCTTGGCTTTCACTAAAAAATTATTGCGATAATCAAAGAAGTTTACTTTCCATCCGGTTTGTGTGAAAAGTGAAAAAGAGATAAATGTGGCGAAACAAAGAAAGAAAAAACTATTCAGTGGATAACACACATTCTTTTAGTGCGGGAGACCTGGGTTCAATTCCCACAGAACCACATCCACCATTGTGTTGCTTTGGATAAAAATGTCAGCTAAATAGGAACATACCTAAAAAAAAAAAAACATTACCAAATTGCCAAAACTGCTGCTGAGCCTCTATTTCTACATGCGATGTAAAAGGATCAACAGAGTATCCACAGTTAATATGGGTTTAAGTGGCCTGTGTTTTTGTGTTTTTGATTGCTTGACTCTATATTATTACAATTAAAAGCCTTATCAGGACATTAATCCCTTTGATCAGTCAGTGTTAATATAAAAAATATTTTAAAAATATAACAAATTGTAGATTATACAATAATAATTTTCTTAGTTTTTTTTTCATCAGGAAAAATTCAGTGATTAAGCAATATCACCCAAAACCACTCAAGTTACAGAGATTGTACCTATATTGTCAGTTTAACCTCAAGTTCTGGTTATTGAGGGGGCAAATTCACCCATAAAAGAACCAAAACCAAATTACTTTAGTAAAGAAATCTCATTATTGATATAAAAATTAAACAAAAAGAATTCTTCACAATCTTTGGGTGATAACAATGCCGTTCGAATTGCATTGTGTTCTGGCAGGTGCTCATTAACATTCGTCAAAGAAGTTCTCGGTGCAAAAACACCGTTCAAGGGTGTTTTGCAACACTTCCCTGTTTTGATAGGGAAAAAAGCAAAACACTTTGTTAAAACAGCAGTTACTACTGTCAGTAAGCAACATATGGTCTCACAAATATATTGTTTTATTACCCATCACTGTGTGTTAAAAATACATTCAGTTTCCGATTTTATTAAGTACACCTAACTAAAATGATATATCAGTCCTGCAAAAAATCTTCCCTTCTTGAAGGTAATGATGTTCCATTTTTGTTGAAACTGTTTTAGAGAGGTGTTGACTGTACACTGCTCAAAAAAATAAGGGAACACTTAATCATCACAAAATAAAATCATGTCAAGTAAACTTC